AGAGAGATGATTGACAGGTGGTAGGTAGATACAGGTCAGACAGAGGTAGAGAGATGATTGACAGGTGGTAGGTAGATACAGGTACAGAGGTAGAGAGATGATTGACAGGTGGTAGTAGATACAGGTACAGACAGAGGTAGAGAGATGATTGAAAGGTGGTAGTAGATACAGTTCAGACAGAGGTAGAGAGATGATTGACAGGTGGTAGATAGATACTGGTACAGACAGAGGTAGAGAGATGATTGACAGGTGGTAGGTAGATACAGGTACAGACATAGGTAGAGAGAGGGGAGGTGGGGTGTAGATGATTGATACGGGTATAGAGGCAGACAGATGGGAGGTAGGTATGTAGAAGATGATCAATAGGTGATAGGTATAGGTAGTTTTGGACAGATGATAGGTAGATAGGAGGTAGATACGTAATTGAAAGATGATAGATAAACAGGATAAGAGACTTAGGAAATATTAAAAAAACTCAGTGGCTGGGGTTGTGGCTCAGTGGCAGAGCGCTTGTCTAATATGTGTGAGGCCCTCGGTTTGATTCTCAGTGCCACATTTAATAAATGAATAAAATAAAGGTCCATCAACGTCTAAAAAGGAAAAACTCAGTTTAGCTGGGTGAGGTGGCATATGCCTGTAACCTCAGCAGCCTTGGAGGCTGAGGCAGGAGGATGAGGAGTTCAAAGCCAGCCTCAGCAACTTAGTGAGGACCTAAGCAACTTTGGGAGACCCTGACTCTAAATAAAATACAAAAAAGTGGGCTGGGGCTGTAGCTCCATGGTAGAACACTTGCCTCGCACATGTGAGCCACTGGGTTCACACTTCAGCACCACATAAAAAGGAAACAAATAAAATAAAGATATTGTGTCCGTCTAAAAAGTTAGTGGAAAACCAAAGCAAACTGTCATGCCTGGTGCACGCCCGTCGTGGAGAGAGGCCACCGTGCTATTGGGCAGGCACAGGGACCCCGCAGCCTCCCACTCGCCCATCAGCAGCAGCCGGCCTGCAGCCAGCTGTGGGCACCTCTTGCCTTATAATAAAAACCAAGCCAGTGAGCGCTCAGTTTCTAAAAATTGGGAAGACACGGTCCGCACCTCCCTGCTCTCTGTGGTTTTACGTCTCAACGTCTGCATTTACTCGTAAAAGGAGGACGAAACTGGAAACTGTGCTGTGTGTTTGAGGATCTTATTCAGCCTAACACTCCAGAGTGGAATCAGCTTTTCAGCAGACTGCTTTCTGACCTCCCCCCAGGCTGGCCTCCCTGTGCGCCCTCGTCCCGTCCCGAGAGAGAGCCGTGCTCTGCTGGAGGTGAGGGGAAGGCCCCTGTAAGGCCCCTAGAGGCGAGACCTGCCTTTCTGACTCTGACTGAAAGCACACCCGTCCCGGCCCCGGTTCAGAAACAGCCTGTGCAGACAGGGCTGCTGCCCAGTGGTCTCACAGGCTCCCTGACCACACCTACGCTCCTCTGGGATGCGCGAGCTGGGCCACTGCTGAGGAGCCACCCCAGCCCTAGTAGGGCCTCCACCAGGGCGCAGGGAGGGCCAGATGCCTGGCCAGACGCAACTCCAGGAAGCCCAGCAGCGCCCTGAGCCTCACCAGTAGCCACTGGTCCAGACGTCTGCTGGACACACAAACCTGGGGACACCACGCACTGTCCAAACTACTCACAGAAGAAGTGCCACAGCCCAGGTGGCCCTCTGGCTCGGCCACCTTCCCGCACCGCGAGCTCCTGCCCTGGCGCTCTGCGGTGCGGTCGGCACCCTGGCCTGCGCGCACCCGAGGGGCAGCTCTCCTGAGACGCGCGCCTCAAGCCCAGGAACACCACGGCCACCAAGACAGGCCACCACCAAGCGCTGCTCTACTCACACCTGATGCTGCTTGGAGAAAATCACACCCAGAGTCACCTCAGCAACAGGAGCAAGTGTCCCCTCAGGCCCCGGCAGTGCCCCGGCCACCCCCAGGGAGCAGGGCTGCAGGGGCTGGGGACCTTCTGTGGGAAACCTGGCAGGCAGACCCCCAGAGGGCACTGCTCCCTGGCCCTCGGCCATGTGTTCCCAGAGGCACTGACTCAGAGGCCCGGTGTGGCTACGCACTTGGCGGGGGAGGTGAGGCCAGAGCTTCTGCCCCCAGAAGGCACCCAGAGCCCGGAGGCCCCACCGTGAGGACACGGAGCCTCTGTCTGCCTGGGGAGGTGACTCTCCGGGAGCCTGAGGTGGTGCAGGTGTGCAGCCATCAAACAAGTGTCCAGCAGTCGAAAGGACAAGCTGTTCTCAGATGGAGCACCACTGCAGACACTGTATCGGCGTGAGGGGCAGATGGTACTGTCTGGGCAGTGGAATAAACACCAGCTGTCCAGGACACGCAGGGGACACTGTATTGGAGGTGCCCGTGCAGCAGGCTGAGCCATATTGGCAGTGCTCTGGGTGAGCAGGGTGTGGGAGCCACCTCCAGACGGGCAGCCTGTGTCAGGTGGAGGTGGACACTGCAGCTGGAGGGGAAGCAGGTGTGGGCCACCCTCCCCTGGGGGCTACTTGCTGCTGGGGCCCCGGGAGGCAGTGGCAGAAGCTTTACTTCTCCTCTGTGGACAGGCGGTGGAGGGCGGCGCCCACGCTCTCCAGTCTGGGCCTGTGCTCCAGCTCCTGGTACAGGCCCCTGGGCACCGCATCCAGCCCGTGCAGCAGTCCGAACAGGCAGCCGGCGATGGCCCCGGTGGCTCCGCTCTCACCTGCAAGGGCACACACAGGTGTGTCATGGCCCAGGCCCTGTTCCTCCAGGGCCCCTCCTTCAGGAGTGGACAGGTTCTGGTCCCACACAGAGCTTTCTGCTCTGGCCACCCCCATCACAGAGAGGTGCATGTGCCATGGGGCTGGGTTGGGGGGACTCCAGGGGCCAGGACCTCTTGAGGTGGGCCCCTGTGGGCCACTTCCCCTCTGGCTCTGCCGATGCCCTTGCCCAGGCTGGCCCCCTCAGCCTTGCCTGGCACCGCAGCACTCCTCCCCCTTCACCCACCCCCAGCTGTCCACTCTGGTGCCCAGAGGACACTCGGCCTGCACTCAGTCCCCAGGCAGCAGTGGTTCCTTCTGTCTGCACAGTGCGCTCAGCCCAGCCTTCAGGGCTCTGCGGAGACTCCCGCCCGTCCCCACAGCCTCTGCTTCTCCTCTGCTCGGTGCCCAGCTGGGTCCTGGCTTCTCTGGAGCCCACAGGCCAGGCAGCATGGGCTCCTCCGCAGTGGGAGAAAGCATGCCCAGCCCTGGGGCAACCCGTGAGCGCAGAAGTCCCTGCCAGGACGGGGAGGGGCACAACACAGTCCCAGGTATGGGTGCTGTCCGGAGAGATGGAGCAAGCTCATCTGGCCAGGGCCTGACCGCCCAGTGCAGGCCAGGACTGCACAGAGCTGCGGAGGCACAGGACGGCAGAGCCTCAGGTGGGCCCAACACAGCCGGACAGCGGCGGCCCCAGAGCAGGCGCCGAGGCCTCTGTGCTGGCTGGGGTGCAGGTGGCAGAGGCCTCCCGAGGGGCCCACGGGGGCCCAGTGTCTCTGGCCCGGGGCTCACCTCCGTGGAGCATGGCCCGCTGGCACAGCTCCGTCCAGCTGCCGCCTGCTGCCAGGAGGGCGTCGTAGGCTATCATGGGGGCGTCGTGGCCTCGGCGTCCCCCCCGGCCTTCCGAGCTCCACTTCTTGTAGGTCTGAAGAGGGCCGTGGTCGGGGCGTGAGCCCAGGTGGGACTCAACGCCTCCCTCCCACCGGCAGCCACCCGCCCACCAGCTGCTGTGTGCCGAGTGCAGCCACCGTGAGGTGCGCCCCAGCAGGGGCAGGACTTGCCTTGTCTCTCTCCTCCGCGTCGTAGTTCTCAGGAAAGGTGGCTTCGTTTCCCGAGTCCTCACTGATCTTTCTCTCCTCCAAGTAAAACTGCCACTTAGCTTCAAAGTAGAACCAGTGCTCCTGGTACTCTAGACAGAAGCACAGGGGGGCGGCCACCGGCTGTGGGCAGGAGGAGGGGCAGCATGCCCTCCCAGGAGCAGGTGTGCGGGGAGGGACCTCCTGCCCCGAGAGCTGGGAACAGGCAGCAGCTGCAGAGCTGCACCGTGTAGGACTCAGCCAGTGCTGCACCGGAGCCCTCCGGGAAAACTAGCCCCAGGTGTGTTGGGGCAACTTTTGGTCAGTTTGGTCAGGAGGACACTGTCTTGGCCAAGACCTCCAGCTGCACACATCAGAGACCACACAGGGCCACTTCTAGAGCTCAGAGGGGCAGCAGACAGAAGACCCTGAGGCCCTGCCCCTTCCCCTGCTGCTCCAGGCCAGAGCCTGTCTAGCCACCTCAGTGCCCTCCTCGTGGCTGGAGGCCCCCAGGACACCAGCCATGTTGGCCCTTAGGGACTGCTGAGGCCCACAGACACTCCTGGAGGTGGACACAGATCCTTTGCCTGTCCAGAAATGGGGAGCAGAGCAGAGATGGAGAACCCCCCTGCCACCCTCCTGGCCGCAGGACAGGTCCTGGGTCAGCACCTGGGAAGGAACAGCAAACACATGGGCATAGGCCAGCAGAGCCCTTCCAACTCCAGCTCTAAAGCCAGGGGACATCTCCGGCGAGCCTTGCAGAACTTGGTTCTCTGCAGTGACATTGGGGCCTGTTGGCTTCTGGTCAAAGAAACCATAAATGTCGGGTCAAGCAGGCTTACGGTCAGACCCACAGGCCTGTTTCTGGACCGTCAGTACCCACAGGAAAGAGGTGTCCAAACCACCTGCTGATCCCTGTGCCCTGGAGCCTCAGGGTGTGGGTGGACCACTGTCCAGCACATGCAGAAGCCACTCTGGGCAGCAGAGTGGGGGGCACTGCCAGGAAGGGCAGGGCTGCAGGGCCTCACACTGAAAGGGGTCAGCTCGCGCCCACTGCACAAGGGAGCCCACCCGTGGACAAGGCCCAACTGTGTTGCCCTGCACGGGGGACAGCAGAGCTGCTGCAGATAAGGGAGCTGAGAACCACGTCTGAAGTCACAGAAGCAGAACTGGCCATGGCACTGGCCACGTGCCTGCACTGCCCCAGAGTCGGGCTTCACACAGAGGGCGCCTCACAACTGAGGGAGGTGGGCACAGAGCCTTGCCACTGCCGGAGCTGACCATCCCGCAGGACCCTGGCCCCACACTCGGCTCTCCTCTCCTGTGCCCCGGACCCCAGCCCTAGGCTGCCCCTCCTCTCCCCTCCCCTCCCCTCCCCCTGGCCCCT